ACTCCCGTCGCTCTCTCGGAAACAATGAAAGCCAGCGCTAGAACAGAGGTAAGAATTTGGAATTACTGCACTAGAAATAGCGTCAAAACACTGCCCTCAGCCTCAGTAATCCCTTTTGTGCCAAGAAGTCATCCATCCACTTCTCTTTGTTACTAGTTGCATTGAACTTGCTTCTGGAAATCATCTGGTGGACAGAAGCAGCTTTTCAGGAAGACTGTGTCACAAGAGTACCTGACACTAAGAAAACACAGCAGTAGATAGCATGACAGCTCTGTGATGATACGTCAGAGTAACACATCATCCAAATGAGGCCTTCTGGTGGTATGTTACTTAAAAGATCTCATAGCCCAAAGTAGATTAATTTTAATCATGCATTCTCCCTGGCAGAGGCACACCTGGTAGAAGTGGATGGCATAAGGCTATTAAAAAGAAAACAAAACAGCATGGTAATTACTCTCCCTGTACATTCTACACAAAATTCGTATTTTCCACTAATAATTACACTTCATTTACTTTAGCCTGATGCCACATTTTTGTTATTAGATTTAAGTTTATCAAGATCTGACAAAGCTAAATAGTGTCTGCAAATCAAGTGCCAACATTTCTGGCAACAGGCTTTGGAATGACTAATGTCAAGATATTGTTCAGAATATTCCCATTCAGTCTCAAGAAATGAACTGGAATCCTTTTTTAGAAGTTATTTTACTTTCTTGCTGTTTTACTGTTCAGACATATCTTAAACAAATCTAAGCGGTAGTTAGGCTTAGATAGCACTCCCCTTGTAGGAATTAGGAAGATATGTATGAGAAGTGAACAAATACTAAGCTGACGCAGCCTCTATGGCTCTACTGATGACTGAGTCTGAGACTCAGAGTTTAAATTTTAGCAATAGTCAAAGTGTAGAGAGGTTACGGGTGGAAATTTTTGCTTAACTGTCCTTCAGCCAACGTTGAGGAGTTTGTTGATGCATGCTTACTATTGCTTTCTTCAGGCTAGTTTAAGTGTCTTGAAAGATAATGATTCTGCAGTAGCCTTCTTGGCAAATGTTTTGTACTATGGGTGATCTCATCATTCCGTAATTGCTTACCCTGAATAGCTGGAAAAATAAAATACTTGGCAACGTTAGCTGCAGATCCAGGTGGGACATACCATGAAAATATTTTTGACTGAAAACAGTCAGAGCAGAGGTGCTGCTATATTTGAAAAAAGCACATTAATGTGAGAATTAGAAATGTAAGCATTAGGATATAATAAGCACTTTTGTACCCAAGTATAAGTGCTGAGCAAATGCTGACAAGGAAAGGGTTAGCTGAGTAAAACAGTAGAGACATTCCGCTCCTTAAGCACTTGTGTTTTCAAAACAAGGCTGAACTATAATATGGCTTATTTTTATGGGAAAAAAAGCTGGTCCTCGCTTGCAGGTATCAAAGATGTTCTGAGAGTGGATGTTACATCTCCAGCTGCTCTGAATTTACATCTTTTATAAATGTTCAAAGCAAGTTACAGCGACCCTTTGTTCTTTTGCTTTTCCATTAGTGTGTCCTGACTCCAGAGTTCCTTGTGCACTGTGGATTTCCCCGCTCTTTCTGCCAGTCGTTACTGGCATGTGCCACTCTTATTGGGGTAGCGGGAGTGAGAACAGCTCAGTAGTCTGTCGTCTTTATAGAGTTTGTCACTTTCTACTACACTACTATCTTTCCAAACTTTGACAGTTACAAAAATGGCAGCAATGTATTGGAAACTTCAGGAAAGAGTAACCCCCTTCCAGACTTTGACCCGAACCAGAAGTTCAGATGTGCAACGGCGTTATCTGTAACGCTCCTCTCAGCTAGTTAAACAGAGATATGTATCAGAATGAACTGCAGACTTACCACAGAAGTACCAAAACCCAAAGTCTATAGGTTTGTTTATGAAATACTGAAAGAAAACATGAAATCTAGAAGATAGATGGAATTTCATCATGTCAGTCCCTCAGAAGAGTACAGCTTCCAATTTTTTATTCCCACACTGTTTAGTAGCTAGATTATCCTGACAACAGGGCGGGAGAACTACTACTATTGCCGTAGCCATGATGGTCTAAAAAAGAGTTTTGTAAAGAGTTCTCTCTCTTATCCATTGGCCTAATGTGCAAGCAAAAACACGCCAATTTTGGGAGAACCTTTTCAAGCTGAATACAGAAGAAAACATCAAGCAAGTAGGCTGAGAAAAGTTCATTACCTTAACCAATGAGACAGTTTAAGGGGGGGGAAAAAGTGTGCAGTTTGTGGACAGAAAGGAATCCCCCAGGGCACTGGGGATAAGATCATTAGACACTGTGAGATAAAGAAACAGGTAATTATCACTGGTAGTATAGCAAGAGGCTAGCAGAAGGTGAGAGGTGGGGAAATTATATTTTTCTGGAAAGCTAGTATCTCTTAGCTCCACAATTTCCGATGTCCAGTAGAGTAATTGAGCGTAATCCCCGTAGTCGCTTTGCAGTTAGTTTGTAGGTTGCCCTAGAGAATCAGAACTGACTAATGAAGATGAGAACTGACTAATGAGATGAAGGTGTTACATCATGAAAACAATGTAAAAATACTGTGCTGTAGTGTAACCTTATCTATTGCCTGGGTGAGGCCCTTTTAGTGTGTGCTGGTTCTTTGATCCACACAGGTAATTCCCGTGAGGACACTTGATGTGCTGGATGAAGGGTGTTACAGTTTGATCTTCTGTAGCTTTTACTGTAGCAAAAGCATTTACAAATTGAACATATTTTTGTGGCAGCACAGTCTGAAGCATATGATGTGTGGCAACCCAAAGGAAGTTTGCTTCTGGTGATTATGCCAGCCAAGTTTCTGAGCCTTATTTAAAGGCTAAGACAAAGGCTTCAGGGAAAAGTTCTTGTACAATATGATATTCTTCTAGACTAGATTGTAATTCTTTAAGAATTTTCCATAGAAGTTTCAATTTGCAGTAGTATACAACGATCAAAGATACAGGTTAAGTGCCAGCTTATCTTTTTGCATCACAGAACATTTCTCTGCAGTACTCATATGACTTGTTCATTCATCATCTAGAGGAGAGTTCTCACTGAACTGCCCTTTATATTGATGAAGGGAGCTTTACGAGTGTTTTTCTCAGCACGTAAGAGGTACTGGCTGGTACTTTCTAGATGTTTTGGGGGTTTTTGGTGTATGATGGTGTTACAGAGTTAGGTGGGCTGTTCTGTAGGCTTTGTCTTTAGGGGTGGCATCTTTAATTTTCCAAGAGATTTCCAGTTGTTCCTTATGCTTTATGTTGTCACAACCATTACAGTATTTCAATAGTACAGTTACACTGTGTTGCTTTATTTGCTGCAAGTGCCAGCACATTTTCCTGTGTACATTGGAATTCAGTTAGCACACATTATCGTTTCAGTAAGGTCACTGATATTAGCAGCTATTTTGCTAACAGTGTGTGTTATATCTCTCACTGGCTAATGGGAATATTGAGATGGCCCAAGATGGCAAGTAAGGGACAAGTCTAATGGCTTAAATTAATGCCTGTTGTAGTTCAAACAGCTCGAGCTAGAATTATCTCGGGAATGAACTTGATCCAATGTGTGAACAAAACTGTTACTACCAAGAGCATTGGTGATCTCTTATTTTAGCTGTATTATCGGAACTATAATAAAAACTTTATTCCTTGTGGGAGTGATCAAGGAGAGATCTGTTCTTACTGAAATCAACATCAGATGTTTTCCTCATACGTAGAGCCAGATCCTTGGCTGGTGTTATCAGCTCATCTGATTTTCAGTGCATCTGCAGAATCAAATACCATTCTCTAATGTCCTCCATGTACCCAGTATTACAGTAGGTTTGCACAATAGTCTTGACACAAAATTACACTATTTACTGGGTAATCTATGGCTTTATGGGGTACAGACCAGAATGGAATCTAAGTGTCCAGGCTGCCTCGCAGATGGTGCGAGACAGAGATTAGTAATGATAACATGCCTCTGAAGTCTGTAACACTAGCAAAATCACTTGACAACTGATTAATAGTTAGATGCATGTCACTCCTCTTGCTTGTCTAATGTGTGCTTCCCTCCCCCGCCCTTGATTTTAGTGGGTTTGGGACCAGATCCGTTGTAGTAATGAAGAACTTAAGGGTGGTTTGTGGTTGGTTGGTTTGTTTGTTTTTTGGTAATGGTGCAGGATAAAAGATTCATGCAATAGAAAAGTCTCATGTGAGACTGCCCACTATCACATTATACAGCCTTGTCTTTTAACAACCGAATATGGCAGGTGGTCTACACTCACCAGGTTCTTAACAAATATCTTAAAAGAGATGACTTTTTGGTGATTTGAACTAAATAGACTTACCTTTCTGATGTTCCCTGAGCTCTGAGTTGCTATCTTGCAAGTGTTACTTTTGTGTTGCATTTTGTTGATAAACTCTGCAAGGGTACAAAGTCTGAGGAGTTAAGTAAAGTAACAATACCCTCCTTCCCCTTACGTTTTTTTCAGGGTGTGGACACTGAATTTTTGAATCTTTTTTTTTTCTCTTTTTTTTTTCTCCAATCAGCAGAACATAGCTTGTTTGCTTGTTGTCTCAGGAAAGAAGCTGAAGAGGAACTAACTTTGATATTATGGGAGGAAATTTTCATTCCTACAGGAAATCTACTGTATTCTAAAGATCTGATTAGTGCTAATCTTGTTATCTTTTTCAAAGACCATATGTGGTAACAACGAGAGTGGGAAAAGTCTAAGAAGACCAACTTGCAAATTTGCCCTGGTTAGCAAAATAGTCCTTTCACTTTTGTGGTCACTCTACCTTGTCTTTAACCATCTTTAGAATCTGGTAGTAATGTAAGTGTTAGAACTACTTTGATGTGTCAGTGAGAATTCATTCCTAAAGGGGAAAACTATCAAATGAAAAACCAAAAGATGAAGAACAATGTTAACATTTATCAGTTCATAACAACAGATTTCCTAGCTATTGAGATCTTTCAAATTTTATTCTCATTAATCTCATTCCAGGTTAAAACTGACATGGGGATTGCCAATGCCTTGCTTTCAAAACTGGGACGTTAAAAAGTACTTCACATTAGGACAGCGTTTATTTTGTTCTTCAGTGGAAAAAGGTTAGTGAAGTATCTGCTGCATCATTGTCCTGAGTTGGGTCATTCTAGTCTAATCTGTTATGTGTTCAGTATTTTAATAAGCTTCTTCTAATTTTGTACCTATTTTCAGTTAGCACTGACTATTCCAAGGGTGTCCTTGCTATGTGTGTACTTAAAGCTCTTAGCTATTTGAATACGTCCCCTAAAAGGATCTTTGTTTTAAGAGAACCTTCAGAAATCAGCAGCAGTCTAAGGTGGAAGAAGAAAACAGATACTGAAAATCCTGTTACTTGCAGTGGCTGAGTCTGTTTTGTGCCCTTAGAAAATTAAGCCATTTGGTGAGGGAGCTTTTTCCTGAGGCATTTCCCTAATGTCTTCCAAATGCTGCTTCATCAGAGCCAAATGGTCAGAAGCCCATAAGAGTTCCTATTGTAGATGCACAGATTTTTTTTGGTTCATTTCCAGTATATTTAGCTGCATTTCCGAAGCTGTAACACAGATAAAGTGTCTGTAAAGGCTTTGTTTATAGACTGCTTCACAGCTGAAGCTCAAACCACTTTCCTTCAAGCTGTGTCAGAAACGGTGTTCCCAAGTGTTTCTGATGCTGGTTGCTTTGTGTTATGAACAGTGAAACATTCCTTAATCAGCGAGGAAGCATGCTTTCTGCATACCCCTGCACAAAATTTGGTATGAGTTCAACAAATGACAATTCAGCTGCTGAAGCATAACCAACTTGGACTGCTTTAGAGGTCTGTATTTCACTTATTCCGCTATCTGTTTTATTATCCACTCTGCTAAGCTAAATATAGAAAGAAAGTAGGGAGAAGAAGTCAACAGTTCTGTAAGCCTAGAAATGATAGTCAAGAACAGCTATGATGAAGTTAAAATTGTATATACTTAAACCAAAACAAAGCATATGTGTTGTATTTCTGTAGAGCTTTCCATCTGAGGATCTCAATCGTTTATCCCAATGAGCTTAATGAAGGTATGAGTTCACTGTATACTGCATACTGGGTAATATGCCAGAAGAATAGCGCGTTTAAAAAGCTGGCATTATCTTAAGAGGTCTGTTTACAAAGATACTTCAGGTTTAGTTTTTAGCCATGAGTATGTAATGCGTAACTTTTTGATGTTTCTCCTGAACTCTTCTCTTTTTCTTTCTCCAAGTTTGATCACCTCTTTCTCTATAGCCTCTCTGTTGAGGAGTTCGTCTGGCTTTTTTACTTGAATCACTTACCTCTGTCCTTGCTGAGGTGAACTACAGACAATTCTGTGCAGGATCCTGACTTTTGTTGCCAGGCCATTGAAGTCTTGCTGTTATGTTGACCAGGCCATTATGTTGACCAGGGAAACTTGCTTCCGTTCTTGCTCCCAAGGATATAGGTGAGTGATGTCTGAAGAGCAATGAAGAACAAGTTCTGTTCTTCCAGGACTAGACTGGCAGTAGCAGGGACCAGTACAATTTAAATAGTTCTCTACTGAAATACAGCTTCAGAAATGTAGGGAATTAAACTAAGCTTTCTGGTCTCAATGAGATGGTTTTCTTCACTTGTAACAAGAAGTCAGTTGGCAATAGTAAGTGATATTGCATTAAAGGAGGAAGAGGAAAAAAAAATCAGTTGGAGCCTCTCCACCTATAAACTTCATAACGTTAAACCAAATTTTCTGGTGTGCAATGAATTAATATAGCCAACATCCATATATGAGTCGGTTGACTTGAGTAACATCTTGCCAAGAAAAAAAAATACAGCAAAATGGATAACCATGATAATGTATAATGCCTAATTCATAAAGTGTAACTATCTATAAATCTTTTGCCTTTTGAAGCAACCCCTGAAGGCAATTGCAGCTTCCACACATCCCTTCCCCAGCCCCTGCCCCACCCCATAATAACTCATGCAAGGTTTGGGATTGCCAGGTTGTGCTGTGTGGCCAGGCCACCTCCACCTGATGGTGACCGGTGCAAGCGCTGAAAGCAGTCCCCGCTTTGCTGTGCAGCCCCATCGTCATTCTCTGTCCCATACCACTAGCTATTCTGTCTTCTGTTCTGCTTAATGACTGCAGCATTGCTAACGGTGGCTTTTATTTCAGGTTTTAGCAATGGAGGATGTAGCACTGAAGGTTGTTGCACAGTCGTCTTATGTGTTTAGGACACTCCTAAAGAGATTTTGTCCTCTTAGTTCTCAGGAGGCATCTGTAGTTTTTCCCCACTAGATATTTAAGTGAGACATTTAAACAAAGTCCTAACCCTTCTCTTTCTTTTTCTAGGCTACCTTTGCATGCCATTCTAAATGCAAAAGCTCTTGCCTCTATTCCCACTTTGGGCATAGTTGGTTTGCTTTGATTTAAACTACAGTACTGCCCAAACTACATAACTAAAGTGTACATGTCCATACCATTTCATTAGTCCCTCTGTCGTTCGTCTCTCCTTCTTTCCATCGCCTGCAGAGCCCTCCTGGAGAGGAGGGGGTTGCATTCTGAATTTCTCTGGGATAAAGAGCTTTGCTTTCATTTTAGGCCTCAGACACGAAGCTTAAACAAGCTAGTATTGCAAGACAGTGGCAGGGATTAATTCCAAACATAAGAGTTCCCAAAGAGACTATTAAATCAGTGTTGACCTGATTTTAATAGCATGTAATGTTTCCATGGATTGCGAGCAAGTAAACAAGTTTTGACAAACCTCTTGCATAAATGCACTTTGAAATAGACAAGACAAATAAGGAGATGGAAAGTATACACAAGCTATTTTCTAGAGAGGAAAAAAAAAAAAGAAGAATGAACGTTTGAGAACAGAAATTTAACAAGTCAGAACCTTTTGGAGCACTAATGTGCCATCTCATGTCATGGGCAGCTCTGCTCTGAAAAGCTGTTGGGAAAGCTTTTTGAAAAACCTTAGTATCATACCTTGTTAGGATCAACTGGGGAAAAATGTCCTTCAAAATACACTTCAAAAATCATGTAAGAGACCTGGAAGAGCAGTTCAAAGTTTCTCTTGGGTTTAATCAAACTCTTTCAGATGAGAGAACGTATGTTGAAGGCCACTAAACTCTAAATACTCCAGCTTACCCCTTTGCAGACACTTCACTATAAACAAGAGAGGGAAACAGAAGGGGAGTGTCTCTTCTAGTAAATTATATTTGCGAAAAAGCCATGAACCTCAAAACAACGAAGTTCAAGAACAGGCAGTAGCGAAGCGCTACGTAAATGTCCTGTTCCTTTGAGGAGAGTTGATAGCTACTTTGGAACTGAGTGTCATTAGTGATATGCCTAAAAGTGGCTGAAGTCCCAGGTGGGAAGTAACTGATCCATAATTTGCTGGATTATGCTTTATCCCTTTTAAACTAAATCTTACAATGCTTAGACTGCTACTTCTTCCTTTTAGAGCAGTCCCTATGGCACTTCCTCTTGACAGTGTGGCCAATCTTGGAGTATGAGTGTTTTACTCAATGCAAGCCCAGCAGAGAGGTGTTGTTGCATGTTGACAGACTGTTTACAGTTCTACAGAGCCTTTAGCAGTGCACGTGGGAGTAGCGCTTGCCCCTGAAAACGTACGTCTGCTCCGTATGTCTGCCACGTTTAGTAAATTTCCCAATCATTATTGTGCTGTATCCAGTGCTACAACATGCACTGTCATCACTCAGCGCACTCATGACGTTTTCTTGTGAGCAGATCATCTGCCCGCTTTCTGATGCAGAAGAGTTGCTCCACACCCAAGAGCAGAGACTATCTACTTTTCCATCCATACACGTTCGTGTGTCTGTCTGCTGTAGCATGCTATAGGCCATTAATTTTACTGCAGCTCCCTCATCTCCTTTTGGGGCTCAGAACTGTTGCTCTAGTTGTACAAGGATGTAATACTTCAGAATTGGTGCCTCATTCCCAATTTTTTTTTTTTAACTTTGTTTTTCAGAGGCCAGTTCTTGGGTCTGACTGCCCTCACCCTGCATCACTCATTATAAGGCAATTTTGAAAAGCTTCACAGGTTCTGAGATTCTTATGCAGAAGTACATCCCTAATGGATCTTAGTTTCTCAAATGATATCTACTGTTTAAGGAACTTCAGTTCTCTTCAGCTGCAGCCTATGCATGTTCAGTCTTGTATTCCATTCCTTGCATATGCAATAGTTGTCAACTTGGTACCTTCTTTCTTGATCTCTCCTCTCTCACAGCAGAAATCTTGTGATATATAAGACGAGTCTCTATGGGTCTGGTTCTGTTGACACGGGGGTCCCTTGGAAGGCAGCTAGGGTCCTGTATTCCATTAACAGTTGTACCTCATAGTGGTGCATACCTGGTTTGAATGTCTGATTTGTATCTATTTTCACACTAGAAACTGCATGACATCGCAGATGCCCCAGGTATATAAAGTAGGAAGACTTTGTTTGATCTGGTCTGGTGACCTGAGTTGTTTACAGCACTCTGCTCAGTGGCTTTAAGTTGACTTCAGTCCTGATGGAGAGGAGGTTATTGATACATACTCTGCGGGTTTCAGTGGCTCTTCTCTGCAGATCTGCCTGGGCTAGCTGATTCTCATAACGTGAATGCTGTGCTTGGGCTGGCTGATGGCCATTGATAGACACAGAAGGATGTACTTCTAAACTCAGTTTGCTGTCCTGCTGACCCTGTTCTTGAAATCATAGATGCTATTTAGAGAGAGGTCTACTTTGTCAGAACATAGAAACTTGCTGATTACTGCTATCCTCCCCCTTGTCTTTCAAATGAAATCTGGTACTGAACTCGATATTCAAGTCTATTATTCGCCCTGCCCTGCTGCCAGCCATGTTTGCTATTCTGTACATCAGCCACAATATCTTTTAAATGGTGATGTGGCTTGTTTTTATGAGTTTCTTACTGGCAAGTGCTTTGCTCACTAGCCTCAAAATTAGGCTAGTTCTTCCATCTAGTTATCCAGTCTAATATTGCTGCTTTATCAGTGCTACTGAGATTACATATCAGCTGGCTCCAAAGTCCAGCTGCAATCAAGTGCTCCTTGTCCCTATAGCTGGGCTGAAGGGATGGCAGCCCCCTTTTATAGCCTGTGTACATGTGTTCTGAGTATCTTTGCAAGTGTTAGCTGCGCTGCAGACGTTCTCCTTTTCATTAGCATTGCCCCATGACATGAATTACTGTTTTCTTCTGTTGAGGTAGCTGGGGTAATGGGTCCTAGAACAGTTCTGTTTTCTGTAACTCTTGCATCATTGCCCGTCAGCTGTGTCTTCTCTTCCTGTGTCATGTGATGCTTCTGCAGAATATTTCCTGCAATGCTTGCCCACAATACTTGCATCCTCAGTCTGTGTGCCTCTTTCCCATGGGATCTCTTTAGCTTAAGCCTGCTTGTTCCATCTCAATGGTTCTTGCTGGAAAAAAAAAATGAGGTGCACTACAAACCATATCTGAACAAGCCCAGGGACAGAAGTTAAATGCTATAAGGATGTCAGTAATGGGTTTACCCCCAAAGCTAATCTCTATTCACCCTGCTGAGAGTCTGCCTGCTGCTGAAGCAAGAGGGAGAAGGGCTGGGAAAATGCCAGCTGATACTGAAACACTTCTCTATTCATGTAGCTAGTAGCAGAGTACAAGGTGTCATGCAATGCATTGAACAGATTCATATTTAAGAGTTCAGCTGAAGCCATGGATTGATTATGTAGTAAATCCAACTTTAGAGCCTCTAGGGTGGGATCAGAGAGGTTCTGGTCACATAATGCACAGCACTGATCCAGTGTAAACTAACCCTGCTGATTCAGATTTGTTGAGAAAGAGTAGATTACAACAGGTTAATGCTATGCTAGCTCATTTTATGACAGATCAGATGTTGCTTATTGTCACAGAGCCAGCATAAAAAGCACTGTGTTGTATACTCTGGCTGATCTGCCAAAAATACCATTCTGAACCCATGCCTGATCCAGAAAAATTGTTACTGTTCAGGCACGTTAGTACTGATCATGCACAGCACATTAATGACTGTGGAGCCACAACAACAAGTAAACAACAGTAAGTGCAGTTGTTTTCTCTGCAGAGGTCGTGCTGTAGGTATGGCCACTCTCTATATGACTGCCAGGTGTCCCCTCCCTCTGTGGGGAGTTTAGTCCTCCTGTGCTATGATTAATGCCCCATAAGGGAGCTGGGGGGGGGAGGGGGGCCACAAAACCTTTGAGCCCAAGAATTACTGTCTTCCTTTTTCAGCCTTAGCCAGCAGTCTGCTTTGACTTTGACGTCTTTGGGTAATGGTTTCTCCTTGTTCTTTGATGCTTCTGTAGCTCTGACTGTATCTATGGAATTCCCTTTTGATCAATTGTGTACTGCCAAATTTGTCACCAAAGCAGAACTGTGTTTCTAAGGGTAAATGCTTCCTGACTGTATCCTTTTAGAAAATGTGTCTTATTTTCCCTGATAAATTGCCAGCTTGACTAAGACTACCGCTCAGAGAAGCTCAATAATCAGGGGAAATGGTTCCAAAAAACCAACTATTCGGCATTCAGAATCCCAGTTTACATGGGCTAGCAGTCATTTTCAGATGTTACTGGCATGAGTTATAATTTTAAAATCACTGCAGAATGAAAATGTAGGGACCATCCT